TAAGTTAAACGTGAGGTGACAGTCGTAAGTTTACAGTTACGTTTTATTAATCAAGAAGAAAATTTATGTATTGATAGGATTGTAAAATGTTAAATTGGAAATCATTAATAATTTCGGGTTTGTGAAGATAATCAATGTTTGAAACATTTATGCCTAAGATATTTAGTCTACATGGAGTTATTTTTATAATTTTGAAGAGTTTACAAACATCAAATATTGCTAAGTTTTTGATAAACTTGTAAAACTATAAATCTGATAAAACTTTCATTGAAACTTCGTATTTCAAAACTATAGCTGAAGTGTAGGTTTCCTTTTCCATTTTTTTTATTTTAAATAGGAATTGCACTTTAACCACTTCGGTACCACGAAATGTCACCCACAGCCGGCAGGCTTTGTCCTTATAGTATACTGCTTTTGTTCATAGACAGACCCTATGATGACACTTCGAAATACTGTCTCCAGTAACTGACGCTCGGCCGTACACGTTCGTATCACCTCCGTCACGTAATGGTGACGCTCGGCTGTGCCATCAGCGGCCGTCAAGTAAATTTGCCGCTCGTGCAGAAGTGGTTAAATGTGCTGCATTTTATTAAACCACAAATTAAATGATATTTAATTTCATCATTTGACATCTGATAAGCACTGCAATGCCAATACAAACTTTTTTATATGGATGTTTAGCTGTAGTTTTAATTACCACAGACTCTTTGACTTTACTGCATACTTCATTTTTTTTAACATTCCGCATATTGCATATTAATATCTTATTGTATTCTATGTCGTTTTTGTACTTAAATACCCTCCGTTTGTTTGTGAAATATGTAAGTCGTATGTGATTTGTCTATTTATTCTGTTATTAAATTTATTTTGTCCAAAAATATATAATATTTGTACTCTTAAAAATATATCTTCAAAAGATTCTAAAGTTCCGTAAAGGTATGTGATAAAAATTTGGGCACAGCGTTGATTTCGGTTACTATTTTACTATTATTTACTATTAGGTTCAATATTACTGTAACATATATTATTATACATTTTATAAGCTATTAATTAAATTTTATAATTTTAGTTGTATGATATTATTGTATATTATGTTGATCGTAAATCATTTCGCGATTTCACTGTGTGGTGTTCAGATGTGCCCAACTGAATTTAATTTAGCTTTTATATTCAAAAGTGGACAGATAGTCGATGCTTTAGAATATTCTATTGTCGAACAATATTAAGTTGTATAAACTGGCGACTAACTTGATATGTTGATGGAAATGTCGAGAAGAGAAGTTATGTTCATATGATAAATGTAATTTTAGAATTATCCCAATAATTTATATGGAAAAAAATGTTGCGTAATTTGGTTTATTACAAAAAATAATAAGTCGAAGTGACCTTCCGTGGAACGTGGATGTCAAAGCTCTGAACACTTCACCTCTTCACATATACCATTCAATAAATGTTGATCTATGGTGCTTTAAAAGGCTTGTAATAATGATTGATGACACTCAATTCATTATATCTCCTCATTCTATTATAAATTTATTGAAAAAAAATATGAGAACAATACGTTGATATTTAACTTATATTTAAAAAAAATATAAGGATGCCCCATACGCTAATTTTTAGATATTTGATGGATATTTGTAATTTTATTAATTGCGAAAATTTAGTTTAAATCTATATTTTTTAAAAACCCGGGACAAAAGAACGAAATCCGGGACAAATATTGCTTTTAGGACAACCCGTGACACAAGGTGGAAATCCGGGACTGTCCCCTTAGTTGTCTCCTTAGGTTTAATTGATTGGTTTTCACAATATAATTGCTCAAAATCGAATCGGACCTTTGTGCCCCGCTCTATACTTTATATATATATATGTATATATATATATATATATATATATATATATATTAAATGGTAGTCTTGGATTTGTGTTTAAAAATTTTTATCATTTTTAATATCCTGTTATATAATCCAGTCATTTATTTTTTATCATTTTCATTTTGATTATATTATCATATTTCTGTACATTATTATTTTTTCAACTAATTTAAAAAATCCATTTTCTTTTCTTAAACATATTGTTTGCTTAAATCTCATCAAGATCATGTTTCTTGACAGATGTCCTGAAGATGGAACGTACCTAGTTCCGAAACGTCGACAGTAAATAAATAAATAAATAAAGAAATAGTTTATTAAAAAACTTTTTTTTTGTTTTTATTACTTTTTGGATTCTTGTTCGAAACTCTACAATGTATATATATATATATATATATATATATATATATATGTGTGTGTGTGTGTAATGTTCGCGGCTATGTTGTATTGTGTTCGGAAATTATAAAATAAATTTATTCATTTAAATAATCAATGTCTATTATAAAAACTTGTTATATGGTGACTTATCTTACATTAAAATGGTGTTGGCGCTTTGCCATACCATATAGGCTGTCTATATCTACCTGTATGATTTTAGAAGGAAAGAATTATTATGCTTATTTCTTCAAAATCGAATTATATAACTACAGCTGCCATCATTTAGATATTTACTATCTATTTTGCTCATTATAAATAAGCTTGGCAAGAATCTGATATAATATTTTATTAATAAAGGTATTAATGTTATTAATATCAGGGCTTGCTTATTATTAATTACATAAACGAAAGTTAAATTATATGCCTGTGTGTATATGTTTGGATATGCGAACATATATATATATATATATATATATATATATATATATATATATGTGTGTGTGTGTGTATATATATGTAAATTTATATGTATGTGTGTATGTGTTTGTGTGTGCGTATACGTGTGTATATGTGTGTTTATATGTAAGAGATAAAGGTGTTCGTTGTAATCACAAGCTACCAAATTGTACGAATTAAATTATGATCGGACGTTACATCATTAAAAGTTTAATAAATTTTTATATATGATTATTTGAAAAATTTTTCAGTGAAAAAGAACTAAAAATAAGTCTCAATAATCTTCATATATTCTTTGTAAACTTCATCGGTTAAAAATTAAAATTATTTTCAGCTTGCTTGTAATCTAATCAAAGTTTATAAATATATATAGTAATTATAAACATTTTCCATAATTGTTCGAAATGAATTATACTTTCGAATTAACATTTAAAGTGAAACATAAGAGAAATATGAATTTCTGTTGTAAACAATTAACTAATTACGTAATTTTGTTCCTAATATTTAAATAATTCATTTGTTTAGGTTTATATTTAGTTTCATTATAATTAATTTTTATCAATGAATGAATGTAAACAACCCTGTCTATGTGTTTTCAAAAAATAATATGCGGGATTTTGCTAAACATGCGGATTTAAAAGTGATATAACCATATACGTCCTTTAAGTTCGAGTCTTGAAACACTATATAGACAACTTAATCCACTAGGGAAATTTGCGATATAAGCAATCAAAATGAGTAAATAATTCAAATGAAAACAAAAACGAGTTGTGAAGTGACGAGCTTAGAGTATATTTTGATGTCGAAGGTATCAAAATAAATGTTAACAAAAAGATACTCATTAAAATTCATGTTGAAATGACGAAATTCGTAACACAGAGTATTCGCTGGTTTTATTATTAAAATCTTTTTGGATTGTAAAGTTATAATTTTCGAACGTGTTATAGTGTTCAAATGTGCTGGCATTTTAGCAAAATTAATGGATAGATCGGTCTTCCAAAGTTAGTGGGGGTCGGTCATACATTTGAACACTATTGGAGCGCTCTAAAGAGACAGTTTCTTCGGCAAAGTATCTTATTTTGTTTTCCCTAGTATCCGAAAATCATATGTGCCTATGGAACTTTTTTTTACCCATACAAATCGACCCTCCTTAATATATATATATATATATATATATATATATATATATATATATATATTTAACTGTTTTGGGATAACACGTTTCAAAGTCACAAAACTTGGAAAACGACGAATCTTTTATACTAAGCGGCGTAAAGTTTGCATGCTAAAACCGCAGACGAAGCTTCTGATAGATATCATAGATGTCTTAAGCCTTTTCTTATCTTATATAAAATTTAACTTTTGAATCTTTGGCTTCCATGCACCTATGGCTTGTGCTTAGAATTTCAATTCTCTTTTTTTTGTTTCTTTTTCGCGTAAGTCGTAGGCATCCGCATTTCTCTTCGTCCGAGCCCTTTTGGTTATTGTATAATTCAAGGCACAACGCAAATCGTATACATTTTCTGCTATACAGGAATTTGTTTTTTCTCGTTTATTTATGATGGTTACAATATTTTATTTATGATTGTGCGTATATTTCAGTGCTCGAAAGCACTTTTTCATACTTACAATTAGAATAGTATATTTACTTGCGTATTACGTGTAATAAGTTTTTAATTAGTTTGATTTTTATTGTTAATAAAAAGTCTACGAACAACACACTATCCAATTGTGATTTTTTAAATTAGTATTTTGTGAAAATATTGCGTAATTACAAGTTTAATGTTTATAATACATAGTGTAGTGCATTACCATATCTTGAAACCATGGATTATTAAAATTTTCCAATTTAACACTAATCTAAGATTAACTAATTGTAAGTACTATTTACTATTTTATTTTTTATTTTCACTCCAATTCAATTGTTTTAGTTTTTAATTTTATTTTTAGTTTCCACTGAATGAAGGCTAGGATTATAGCCGAAACGTATGGATTTAAAATAAATTTTTGAGAGAAATTCATGTTATTTATTGATGTTATGCCCGATTACTAGACTTTGTTAATACATATGTCAACATCAAATTCAGAATCATACAAAATATATATATTTATATGTATGTATGTATAATCTTGAATTTGATGTTGATAATATATAATAGATCGGTTTAAAGATCGTTACATCAATAAAAATTGTATGAATGTTTTTTTTAATTGATTTGTTAATTGTGTGTGTGTTTGGAACAAATACGATCACAGATACGATAAGTTTGGAACTAATCTATGCTTTGTGAACAGTCCGAAGTTAGCGCGGAAGATGTAGCAAGTCTGGTTAATGCAGAGTTGGGTCAGCAGGATAACGGTTATTTCAGCACATCACCTTCTACAATGCCTTACGGAAATCATGACACCACGCCTAGACAAACGACGCCTCAGACTCCAAATACACCCACTAGTATACCGGACATAATCTTAACAGGTAACTAATCGTCGCGTTTTATCTCAGTGCCCGCTCTTCTTTTGTAAGTTTTATTCCGAATTTTGTTTTTTCAAAAGATTCTTAATTTTTAAAGTTTTCGCGCAATTATCAAGCGATCTCCAATTTTGAGATTAAAATTTTAATACAATTTAGATCAGTATCGAGCGCAGTTCATTAGCTTTCTAATATCCTCAAAGTTCATACTTGATTGATATTTTCAAATATTGTTTTTTATTCTTACTTTTTTGCTTCATGACTATTTATTTATCGTTTGTTCTTATTTTTATACCGCCGTTATTATAAATCTTCTTTGATGAATTAGAATATTACACAATGTTTTCCTTTTTTTAAATTCAATGACTTCAATATACATTAAAACCATCCTCATAGCTCACAAACATTTTTTATAAATCTTATATCAACACAAATAATAAGTATTTTACTATAAACTTTCCGTACGGTGTTACAGTAAATTGAAATTGAAAGTTCTTGCATATCTTTACGTTTCAGAGGGTTCTCAACATTGTTCTCAACAGAAAAAATGGTTGTATTTGTTTTTTATATATCGAAGGAAATGCGTTTGTGCATCCCGGACTAGGTCTTTACCAGGGTATGTCGGGCTCGATACCGCCTCGGTATGACACCGACTAAAACCAATTAGTGTTTGGCAAAGGCATGTTCAGCCGTTTTGAAGATGCGAACAAAAAGTACCAAAAAATGGTAATTTATTTTTTGAGAGAACGGAGCGTCCGTTTGGAATTGGATGGATTCAGATTCAGAAAACATTTTACTCCTGTGAACGAAATGAAGAATTGATTAAGTTTTTGGAAGGCAGGTCCACCGCTACAGAGCTACAGAGCAAAATGTGCTAAAAATTACGTTAAGAAACGTTGCATCCGATTCGGAAGATTCAATATTTTGCTTGCGTTGGCAAGGCAACAAAAAGTTTCTTTTTTATTTCAAAATTTCAAAAAAATAATATTATCTAAAATGGTTCGGATTTTAATGTTGATCCTAGCTAAAATTCTAAACCCAACTTACATATTTGAAGTAAATAATGTTAACTTAGCCATTCAGTTTATATAATTCTTAGAAATATGAGATAAGGTTATTCATTCTAACTCCGCTAGCTTGATTAAGTTTTGTTTATTTACTTTTTATGTAAATATACGCCTTTGTCCAATTTACAAGCATTTTTATATTTTGTCTATTTGCTTGACAAGAGCCTGAAATGATATTTATTATCATTGATTATGGCTTGATTATGAAAAAATAAAAAATAAATAAATAGAAAATACGAATAATGTAAGTTACAGCATTTATAATAAGCTATTTGAAAACATTTTAAATCCTCGAATAATTCATTACGGTACGGGAAGTTTCTGCAATTTGCCTTAAGGCACGATGCTATGCATCACTAGTTCTGCATTATTTTAGCAGTACAATATAATTGGAATGTTATCAAATTTTTAACTACTTATTTTGGATTAGGATCCAATCCAATTTTCATAATCTTTTATCTGTTTAATTTCATATACATAATAATTTCAATACTACTTATTGCAGATTTTTCAAATGGTACTAGCGGAACAGAGCTATCGAAGGATTTGAATTCGGCAATTACAGGACATTTTGATCACAACCTGTTCCCTTCGGATGAAAGTCTGAGAGAAGGATTAGATCCCATAGACTTTGACGGCCTGCAGATGTTGACTGATCCTGAAATGAATGTTATAACGGACCCTTCAACAGAAGACACCTTCCGATTAGACAGACTGTAGTTAAAGGACAAGTGCTTTTTAAAAATTAATAAAACATCTCACGTTTCTAAAAGTGTTGTGTTATATAATAAAGTTGTATCCACATGAAACCATTTATTTAGTGGCAGAACTGATTCTATGTCCACCGGTTGTTTTTTAAAGCAATTGTGGTCAAAATGTTTTTGGACTGATAAAAAACATTTGTTACTGTGATTTTTTAAAAATATTATTAATACAATATTATGTATTTAAATGTTTATAATTCGTATGCTGTAGTGAGTGATACATAGTCTCCTATATACTTATTGGTGAGATTTTGTGAAAATGGTGAAGGGTTCAAAGGACAAATACTTCTAATGTCACATATATATATATATATATATATATATATATATATATATATATATATAATTAGGTTAGCAAGAAAGAAACTTCGGTTTTATAGTGTAAAGTAAAACTCAATTTTTTGCAGAAAGAATTTGTCACCTTTATGGCAACTTCATGATTAAACTCTCATAGAACTTCAGCAAAAAACAAACAAGTGTGGTTTCAAGTCATAGTGGGATTTTTACCAGGTTGTCAGGACTGCCAAACCAAGCTTCAAAAAATTTCTGTTACCAAAGAAATGTGGAAGTCCTGCAACATAACTAATTTTTTAATTCTGATATTCTACCTTGAAAGTAACTCAAAAATAATCTTTGTTTTCTTTGATCCAATTGAAATTTGAATCTGATTGGTTTATTACATTTGGATTATGAAAGTTTTCGAATTACTTTACAATACATTTTTTATCTCCAGTGATGATTCACTTTAGGCAATGGTGAATTTTAATAATATATTGATTTATATGTGTTTAGTTTGTGTGTTCAAAAATTGGACTTCTTAAAGGGTCTTAAGTCATTTTCCAATTTGTGAGATATATTTATTCTCTCTACATTCGCACAAATAATTTTATGATCATCCGTTTTATATATGGCTATTATTTGTTTATCAAGTTCAGGTGGTTAATCAGAATATTGGTTTCCTTTGTTTTATCAGAAATGAGCTTTTAAACCACATGCACCACCTGTTAGCAAATATTGCTATAAATTTTTCATATCTCTTTATGAATCTCATCAGATTTCTTTCCTTTACAGAAGAAGTAATACGCCGAAAATGTTAGCTTTTGCACTTCATTATGTAGATTTTAAACTAACATTTACAAAGGAAATCACACACGATTTGCTTGTGACCAAACCAAAATGTAACGGATAACAAATGCCAAAAGGAAAAAAAAAATTAAAAGGACATAAGGCTATTTATATGCGGGAGAACCGAAAACAGTTTCTTGCCTACCAAATATTAGTATGTATGCATAGGTGTATATATATATATATATATATATATATATATATATATATATAACTAATTCTCTTTTTACATAATGAACGCGTTCCCAAACAAATCATATTAAATTAAATTTGTAAAAAGAGAATTAGCTGTAAACAATATTAAAAAAAAAATTGTTTTCTTAACTTATATCATGTTTATATATTTTAATTCATTATATTATTAAAAATAATATTATACTTTGGGAAGAAGGAAATAATATCTGAAATTCTTTTAATATAGACATAAAAAAATTTATGCATTGTTAATTTCTGACAATAAACGCAAATCAGTACGTAAAATCAGGTATAACTGTACCCTCGCCAGAGTTCTTTTGTTTATCATTTTATGAAAATATTTCTGAATTTTTATCTCTAGTCTCCTGTGTTAATAATTTAGAATTTTTATTGATTTTCTGGTCTAGCGGGTGTGTTAAAGTATTGGGAGAAAGAGTGCAAAATTGCTTCAAGACTGGATGACTGGGATGCACTGTATTAAAAGAATTTTAATTTTGCATTCATTTAGTATAGCTTATGGGATGTATATTGTCTCATAATCTAAGCTTCTCTTTTAAATGTTTACTATCGGTTTTAAGTTGCATTCTCTTTTAGCATTGAACCAAAACAATTTCAATTGATCGTTGGTGTAATCCCCATTTTCAACCATTTTTTTTTTCAGTAACCTTTGGCAGCCAATTCTCTGTTGCTCCGTATCTTAATGTATGTATATATTATGGAGAGCAAGTTCAAAAGAATCAGTCATTCAAACTGTAGTTGCGGCTCATGCAAGTTGTTTTGACATCAACTTCTTCAAGTTATTAATAAAGTCTCAATATTAATAAAGTCTCAATACAGCTTGCTTGGTAGCAACTCTACCTGGTGATATTCTTTTTACCGATTTTTTTCAATTGGCACAACTTAAGCTTTTTTCATTTGGTCTTTGTGTAAGACTATGTTTTGGATGATTTTCTTGATCATCATTCTGGTTATTTCTGTTATACCAGCATACCTTCTTGCAGCTGTTGCACTTTCTTTTGAAGCGAGTTTATATAAAATTTTAATTAATGTATCTAAACTGATTGTTTTTCTCTCTTAGCTTCTATTGCAGGTTGATAGTGTGTCTTTTTGTTAAGATTATTATATCTCTCATATTGATGACGCAAAGGATTACATTTTTTTTAAGATATACCTATTATTGAGTTAATAAGTTTTTGCTTCATTTTTATGGTGTTAATATTTAGTATGAACATATTTCTTCTTTAAGTCTCAGATTAAAATATCCATAACATATTTACACTATGCATAATTAAGAACCCATGCTGACTAAGATCCCAAATAAAAAGACTTGATCTTTTTCTGAAGATAGTTTAAACGTTTCAGTGAACCAGTTTTAGTAACTTTTTCTGAAGATCGTTTTAAACGTTTTTTCTCGCTGTATTTGATCTATAAGACTCTGAAACAATTCCCGAATATTAAAAATCATGTTAAAACAAATCAATTCGTGTAAAAAGATTTTTTTAAATTTTTAACTTGTATTTGACAAGAGCCAGAAATAATATTAATTACGGCTTGCTTATGAATTAAAATAGATATTAAATCAAATTTATGTAAAAAGAGAATTGAACGCATACATATATATATATATATATATATATATATATATATATATATATGGTGTGTGTGTGTATGTATATGAAGAGCATATGTGTGCTTGGGTTAAACCATTCAGTGCACAAATCAATTAACTACGTTCAACGAAAAGTTATGATAAATACGTGATAAAAAATTGTGTTACATCATTTAATTATAATTGTTATATAAATGAAAATATGTATCACATAAAGTATAATCGCATATATTTTAAGTGTAACTAAAATAATTGAGAATGTTGTTATTTTATTTCGGATTGGTAATTTAAACATAAAAATGTATATATATATATATATATATATATATATATATATATATATATTGAAAATCAATTTTGTAGTATATTGTTATCATTATAGTGTTTTAGTATTTTATATTTATAATGTAATTGTTTAATTTGTAAGTAAAGACTCAAAACTCAATTTTTTAGTATATTTTAATTATTATAATATTTAACTCTTTTTTATTACCTTATCATAGTTTTTCCTTTAGGACAGCATTTTTCAAATAGCAATACTCTATCTGTTACAGATTTCCTTAAGCTTTTTCCATTCATTTTATGATTTTTTAAGATGAAGTTTAGCATTTTGTAATATTATTTTATTAATCAATACCCTGTGATTGTAAATGCTTTTGAAGCATTTACAATCACAGATTGTAAAATTACATTGATTAGATTAAATGGCTTATACTTTTTATATTTGGTAATAAACGATTTTACTTTCTACGTTTAGCTTAATAATACCATTTACATTAGTTTAAAAAAAATAGAACTATTTTGCTTATTGTTAGTACACACACAGTCGTTGTGTCAAAGATATTACCATGATTGTTACTTTATTAAACATAATCTTATTATTCAGAATTTGCTATGTTGTTTGAATGTTTTTATTCATAGACTTAAATTGATTTGTACACTGAAATGCTTATATGTGTGGATGCATACTACGATCTCTGTGTTTGCACAAGTGTTTATACATTACATATATAAATAACATACACACACATATATATATATATATATATATATATATATTGTGTATATATAAGCATACAACTTGTAATTTTTAATACGTAAATTTTTCTCAAGTAGAAATATATTATAAATTAATATTTGTCAGCAAGCAATTAATAAGTGAAACAAAACAATTTCTTCTTCAAAATAATCTTCATTTAAAATTTTTGGCTTTTCAAATATATTAGCTAAAAGACAGACTAAAAGTATGACATATTGACTGCATGTTTTGTTTGATATTAAGACTTGGAATATTCAAAATGGTTGTAAGTTTTTGAAAGTAAACAAAACGCATAGAAACATTTTTTTTTATTGTGTCTTAGAATTCAAAATTTAGTTGATATTCAACAAAAACACGTTTTTTATATAATGATTAAAGATATTTACGCTTGTACATTAAATTTTGTTTTTTGTATTCTTTAAGAAATTATCACTATTTCTAAATAAAAAATTATATAATATATACTTGTTTATTTACATGTATTTTTCTTAATATATATATATATATATATATATATATATATATTGTGCATTCCTGCTATAATTTATAATTAATTTAATATTACGTTGAACATCAATAAATTCTAGTACATTCTGTCGCAAGATTATTAAACTTCATGGCAATATATTTCGTTCCCAGTACATCGCAAAATTTACTCATACAAATGCATCTAGTTAATTCAGCATTATTATGCATGTGAACAATCCTTGTTCTGTGCAACTATGCTTAACTGAGCATTTTTAGATTAATTTAGAATATTAATACATAAAACAGAGCAGTCTGCTGTCGAGCCGGCAGTATCTTCAAATGTAATCTCTAAAATGTAAAAGTTTATGAATCCTTTCAACTCATTTGCTAGTTTTCTACGAACTTCATGCAATTCTGAATATTTTATGTAATAAATGAATTTTCAAGTTAATGTGTAAAATGTGTTCAATATCGACATTTTATTTTCGTAACATTATATATTCAACAAAAACACGTTTTTTATATAATGATTAAAGATATTTACGCTTTACATTAAATTTTGTTTTTTTTGTATTTCTTTAAGAAAATTATCACTATTTCTAAATAAAAAAATTATATAATATATACTTGTTTATTTACATGTATTTTTTTAATATATATATATATATATATATATATATATTGTGCATTCCTGCTATAATTATAATTAATTTAAATTACGTTGAACATCAATAAATTCTAGTACATTCTGTCGCAAGATTATTAAACTTCATGGCAATATTATATTCGTTCCAGTACATCGAAAAATTTACTCATACAAATGCATCTAGTTATTCAGCATTATTATGCATGTGAACAATCCTTGTTCTGTGCAACTATGCTTAACTGAGCATTTTTAGATTAATTTAGAATATTAATACTAAAACAGAGCAGTCTGCTGTCGAGCCGGCAGTATCTTCAAATGTAATCTCTAAAATGTAAAAGTTTATGAATCATCTTTCAACTCATTTGCTAGTTTTCTACGAACATTCATGCAATTTTGAATTTTTATGTAATAAAAGTGAATTTCAAGTTAATGTGTAAAATGTGTTCAATATCGACAATTTTATTTTCGTAACATTATATATATTTGAAATAAAATGTATTTTAAAAATGGCGGTTGTCTACATCAGGTGTGTTAAACATTCATTCAATAAACAAATCAACATAAGACTTTTCCAGGTGTAACAATATTGTAAGCACACTAAAACTTCTCAGATCTATCGTACATATTTGTTTTCGTGCATGAATAAAATAAGATAGCTAAAGTACAATTGTACTTAAATTAACTGGAGGATTAAAATATGTTTTACAGTGGGGTGTTCTCATTTAATTGCAACAGAATTTATTTTCTTGAAGTGGTTTGTTCAGCGATTTAGAGTGAGCAGGGTTGTCATATTGCATTCAACCTTTAGCGTTCCTCCATTGTGTTTTTACATTATTTAACTAATGGTCGTCCGTAAGCGTTTCGTATATTGACACTTGATTGGACAAATTTCCTGTCAGTGCATATCACAACGATATTTAATTAATAAAGCTAAGCTGAAGTAAATTGTTGAAGGAACATTACAGTTTTGCAAAATGCTCTTTCTTTCAAAAAGTATTATGACGTGAATTGATGGAAAAGGGGTATTGAAAAATCGACGTTTTTATTATAAATTGTTTACTATATTAATTTTAGTTAAACAAAAGTTATAGTGTATATTTAATGTGATTTAAAAAAGTGCTGAATTAAAATATGTTTTACAAATTCGATTATTTTTACGAAGCGATTGCTTTTTTCCAATTTGATGTATATTTAGTATTGGTTTGAAAGATGTGAATTATTAACGAAAAGGTATGGCGAGTGCGCTCGCAGCAATGAGTGCCATGAAATGCAGTGGCTATGCCGAAAAAATTAACATCTTGCTTGACAGTGATTTTTTAGTATGTTTAGAGACAGTCCTTCTTTCCACCGTTTCAAACTGTGCTAAAACGTTTTATGTACACTGGAACACAACGAATAGTATCTTCAGAATTGATAACACTGATCACATAATTGACGTTAATAAGGGAAATATAAATTTTGAGTATGATCAGGTTAATATTATCTGCCCACTGTACTCCCAGGAGAGCATGACGAAGATGCTGAAAAGTACATAATATAATGTATCGAAGGAGGAGTATGACACTTGTCGCATTACAAACCCAAATCCTCGAATAATAGCAATCTGTGATAAGCCACACAAATTGATGTACTTTACTATAACCTTTCGTCCATTTACACCACAACCAGGTGGTTTGGAATTTCTAGCTGGTAATGATTATTATTTCATTTCTACTTCATCCAAAGATGATTTGCATCGGCGAATAGGTGGGCGGTGTTCATCTCACAATATGAAGATGGTTTTCAAAGTTTGTTGTTCTACAAGTGCCACGCCAATTTCAGCTGAATCTCCAACCATTTTGCCAAATGGGGTTGTTGCAATGCTGCCCTCATCAGTTATAAATCATAGCATATAGTATGCCCAATTGGGCACCTGCAGTTTATGGGGTCCTGTAATTGAATTTTTACTATTACAATTCATAGTTTTGCAGACTGTGAAATGAAAAGTTTTTTGGCCCATTAGAGCTGTGAAGTTATTCATTTTGGAGACGCATGAAAGGATTTTTTATATGTTCTACTTTTCTTAACTAGTGATAATTTTCAGTTCTATAAATACACACAAATAAATAAATGAATAAATAAATATACAGTAGAACCTTGATTAATCGGACTAATTGTGTTGTCGATAGGCATCCGGATAATCCAAAATCCGGATAATCCAATCCATTATTTTCAACATTATTTGAAGTTGAAACTAATTTGTATTAAATAATGATTGCTAACGTTCAAATTTTTTTTAAGAACAATTTATTTGACAAAATTATGTAAAAATTGATAGGGATATTTAATATATTATAATTTTATTTTATTATTTTAAATAAGAGTTATTGGTGGAATTTGGTATCTAATATAAAAATATATTATTGCAGGACCCATATACTGCAATGGTCTAGTGCCCCTATTTTACTCAGTACCCTACCATATATATGTACATACATTGTATATATATAATATCTATATATAATAATATATATATATCTATAGATCTATATATGATATGATAGTTTTATCGGCGTTGATACATATTTGAAGTATTTTGCAGCCCAATCGTCAAATTAAAAAAAGGATTAAAATAGAAAACTTTTTTATTCCATTAAACAATTGATATTAAATATCAAATTGTAAAAAGGAGAAAATTATATACATACCAAACCAAGAAAAACACAAATTTTTATTTTTGTTTTTTTTCTAGACGTTTTATTATTTTTTTTGTGTTTTTCCTGGTTTGGTATGTATATATTTTTGTCCCTTTTTATAATTTTATATTTAATATCAATTTTGTTATTTATTGTAAGATGTTTTTCGATTATATTATTGAATGATGACACACATTAAGTGTCGAAACGTTTAATGGAATAAAAAAGTTTTCTATATTAATCCTTTTTTTTATTTGACCATTGGGCTGCCAAATATTTCATATATATATATATATATATATATATAACATTTTAAACAAAATGTTTAGGGTTAATTATTTCAATTGATTTTGGTTCATATGTTTATCGCGTAATCACATATTTTTGAAGATTGAAATGGACCAAGATAATGTGTCAGTATGTGGTATATATAGAAATAGAATACATGAGTATTAGAGCAAAGCTATTGATTAGCAGTATTAACAAAATTTCATATGCATGTAAATCTATTGTATATGAAACTGTGACTCAAAATTTATCTCAAATTTGAGTAATGTTTGTAGTTGACTGATTTGATTTAATGAAACACGAAAAATATTGTGACATACGTTTGCATTTATCTTATTATTTATTATCATAAACTAAACTAATTTGAATCATTTATTCAAACTGATAAGTGTTAAATTTAAACAAGGATCACAGTTATGAACATTTGTAACTGAAAAAAAAATAGATAGTGTTATATGTAAATGTGTTATCTAAATGATCTGAACAAAGTTTGGTGTTACCTAATATGTACTTGATTGAACAAGCTTTAGAGATCGAAAATGATGAATGTAATAACTCTAAAATATAGAAATAACTAATTTCTATTGCAAGGAAATGTATGTAAGGTAAGGTAAAATTAAAGTACCTATAATAAGTCCATATATTTTGTAAATTATTTAAAAATGCCATTATAGTATAATTATTTTTATATGATTCACTAAAATTTATATTTTGTTATTTGTGAATAATTGTTCATAATATCTGTGGTTGCCCATACTTCTGTAGGCCATTTAAAAACAAAAATCTTTAAATTAACCATTTCATCTGAATACAAATTTTCTAGCTCCGAACACTGGCGCTCATATCAATGTTCTCAATAACTACAGTTGCAACATTTAAAATTTGTTGATTTTTATAAATGATTTTTTTTCTTACTGTTTTAAATGGTCTTGAAGGGTATGCTACTATATTTAACATTGTTGTATATAATATTCTTTTGTACCAATAATTTACAAATTGTCGCTTTGTTTTCATAAGCTTTGTCAGTTAAGATGCTAAAATGAATTTAACTTAACAAATGTTATTTTACATGTGGAATAACTTTTTTTCGAGGCAGCTCTATTATGATGGTTAATTGTTCTAACATTAAAACTTTTATATTATACCGATGGCCTCTTTGACTGGCAATGCCTTGTGGCACATACTTTGTGTAATTTGTAAGAAGTTGGTAAATTAAAGATTTTAGTTAAAAATTTACAATTGAACATATAATTCTCAATTTTTAGTGCTTATACTTGAATGAATAAAACATTTATATATAAATTATATATTAATATATAGATATTTAAAATATATTATATATATATATATATATATATATATATATTTAAACATTTTCAATATAATATATATATATATATATATATATATATATATATATATACACACACATGCAAATAAATAATTTAATATTTCTGTGTGTCTGTGTGTGCATGTGTTGAATGCAGCATATTAAAGGGTGATTGAAAAAATTTATAAAAGTTTTCAGAAGGATATTTGATAGAAATCAGTAAATTTTGTAAAGAAAAATATATTTTACAAAATTGAAATTATTTTGTGATTCATGATTATTATTGTACCATGTTCAATTGAAAATAATTGACGATTAGTTGGGAATATTATTTAAATAACTATGATATCTTGAAGAATGTAGATTTAGGAAATTGAACATGAAAGTGTCAGGATGGTATCCTAAACCAACTTTCTTAAGACATTGTTCAACATTGAAATATGTATTCACATGATTGATCTGTGTGTTTTTATATATTGAGTGCAAGTTTATATATATTATATTTATTATATATATATATATATATATATATATAATGTGTATGCACTGTTTTGAGCCGCATGACATTTAGTTTATAATAATAACTGTTTATACCACAAATTGACAGTACAACTATCCATGTCAAGTGATAAATAGATCACTATCGATATCTGTTCAGATATTAATTCATGTTAACTATTTATGGTACCTATGGAGTTTCAGTCATAATTAATAAAGATTAGATGGAATTATTTGTTTTCTGTATAAATGAAGCAACACGTTTGAAATAAGACTTTATATTGCCATACTTGTACTTTTCATATTTGAATATTGTTTGATTATCAAAGTGATTACACTTGGTAATCAAAATTACTGAAGTTTTTATTTAAATATTATCATTGTGTATATAATATAGAAAAATTGTCTTTACTTTTGTTAAAATTTTGTATTTTGCTACAATTCGTTTTCAGTATAAATAAGAGCCTAATTTATATATATATACTCGTATATATATATATATATATATATATATACGAGTATATATATATATATATATATATATATATATATACGAGTATATATATATATATATATATATGTGTGTGTGTGTGTGTTTGAATATATGATGTATGAATGTGTACGCACACACGCACATACATACTATATATATATATATATATATATATAATATATTATATATATATATATATATATATATTTATATATATATATATTTATATATATATATATATATATATATAAACAATTGTGTGTTACATCAATAAAACAGTGTATGTGTGTCTGCATGTGTTGGTTTGGTCTGGTCTGTTTGAGCATATACATATATATATGTATGTATACATATGTGTACACATATGCATATATATTATACGTACATATATGTATATAGTATAGTATAATTTATAGTTATGTACAGGTATACTTAAGTATATACTATATTTAATAAGGAACATACCGCATATTATAACAGCACTCTGCTTAATATTAATATATGGATAAATAAATGGATAAACAGGAAGGTTATGTATTAGTTTTTATTTTGAAGTTGATACCTCAATTTTACTTGAAACCTGGAACATGTTCATGTTTGCAGTATCTTGACCCCATATTTAATCTTTATATGTCAATTAGAGCATTATTTAAAATACAAAATTTCAACTATGAATTGCAGGCACATAGTTAATTAATATAATCTTAATTTTTTCATTTACAGTCTCCACGGAGGATGTTTATGAGATTATACTTTTGCAAATTTAATTTGCTTGATCAGTTTTGCACACATTGAATTGGTTCATATTGAGTCAAAAATGACCTTATGCAATGGTCGTTATTATTAAGGTTGTTTTTAATTGAGTAGGAAGATTAAAATGTGAAATAAAATTGATAGAACTTTCAGCCAACCTGTTCGTTTTAACGGCTGTTCAATTCAAATTTTGGTTCAAATGTTTTTTGATTTCTTTAAATCGGATGCTCTCTTCACTCAAACATAATTTCCATTTTTTTACTCTTTGTTTAGTATCTCAGAAACGGCTGGACCTACCTTTTCCAAAAATTAATAAGAATTGCATACCTTAGAAAAAATGATGTATGTGTGCGTGTGTATGTATGGGTGGATAGAATTTTTCACCGACAATTTCGAGAACACACGAATTAAGAATCATTTGAATGATTCAAAAAATATTTGATTCCTATTAATGAGTAGAGGTGCTGATTAGTTATTGGCAAAGGCCGGTCCACCCGTTTCGAAGACACGGGGCAAAAAGTGCCTAAAATGGTAATCCACTTTTTGGGAGAATGTAGCGACCGATCCAAATAATTCATGAAACATGTTACTTATAACCGATCAAATTCTTGGGAAGGCAGATCTAGCGGTTTCGGACGTATTAAAAAAAATAAAAAAAGGCATTTGGCGGTAAAAAATAATCGTTAGACATACGTGCAACAATTTTTAAAATAATAAGTACATTTTTTTACATTACTAGGGGTTCCTTATAGGGTTTTTCGGTTTTCAAAAACCGTTTTTTGTCGAAAATCACAGAATTCAAAAACCGGCTTTTTTGGAAAAAATCGGTTTTTAATATACGAATGGGAAATGACAAGCCAAATGGTTTCAGACGGATGCAAGCGCTTTGGTTCTCAGAATCATATCAGTTCTAAAAGATTTGGAAAAATATCAATTTCTTCTGATTCCAAGAAACGCTGTGTATTTTATAAATTGACTACTGCTTTTCAATGTTTAGTTTATATGTTCATTATGAATATAAAAAGTCATATGTCATTAAAAATAAAAATAAATTAAATATTTAAACGTGTATTAATATTGCTCGAAATTGAAAATATTCGGTCTATTGCTTAATTTTTTTTAATACTAAAATTGACTTAAATAAGTATGTATCTATAGATGCGTAATAAATGCATTTTTGATTTTATTTTTTTTTTTTTTAATTTTGTAATTGTATTATTTTTTTATTTGAACTCTCTGCTGAATAACTCGCCTCAATATCATAAATTAAGTTGCATCCTTTATGTGACGATTATAAATAACGATAAATGTTTCTATTTTTTTTATTCTGTTTGACTATTATTTCTGTTCTAATAATTAGAATAAAAAATTTACCAATAAAATTAAACAGTAAATAATTTCAGTCAAACCCTGCTTTAATCATTTTGAATATTTTGTTAATTTTTTTTTGTTTATGCGAACAAAAAATGTTTATATATATAAAATTCGAAATAGGTTAAAACCAGTTTTCAGAAGAAATTAGAATTCGAAAACAGGATTTCTGAAATGTCGGTTTTTGTATCAACCCTAGTTCCGTACCAATGTTTAACGGTTAGACTATGGCGTAGCGCGATTAATTTGAAAAAAATTAAATTTTCAAAAAAATTAAGATATAAAAAAAACTTTTTTTAAAAAAGCTATTATTTAAGAAAAACTATATTCTTAAATATGTATCAAAGTTTTAAAAATATTTCAGTTACGCTACGGGAATTTCCAGCAATTTGCCTTAAGGCACAATGCCATGCACCACTAATTTGAACACAATTAATTATCGACAACATGCGTTTACAAACTTATAGATAGGCTTATAGATATACAAAACAAATTGCGATTAAATCTTTGAAAATCTGACGGGTTACCTGGTTACCTGATTTTGAAAATCTTAGCGACATCTGTTGATGGACCAATACCGTAATCCTTATCAAAACTGTGTGATGTTAATTTGTTCTGATCATAGATAAATAAATATGGTTCTGAATGTGAGATAACTTCCCTCCGTTGTTTGTTTCTCTAATTTAAGAGTTTTATTTTATTATGTTGGCTGCGAGGCTTCGACGCTTGTCAAAAATTATCATGCCGAATTACATCAATTACCAGAAAATGGATTTGATTTTTATTATTATATATATTTTCAATAATTTTGATCATGCAATTTGAATCCACAAAATTGATATATTCATCGTGAAATATTACTAAGAATAATGTCTGAACAGCTGTCGGGTGTTACGATAGTTTTAATAATTGGAGGTGGTGTTATATTAGCGGTTATATTGTTTATTTTTGCCAAAAGGCAAATTATGCGTTTTAGTCTTCGCTCTCGAAGAGGCCCTCATATTGCAATTGGACACGATGCTAAGAAGGTTTATTCATGTTTGTTATTAAATTTATCCTGAACCTGTGATGAGCGAATTGATATGATTATTTTTGATTTAGTCATTGAGGAAGGAAGTTGAACGTAAAATTGAGGCTATTCCAAAAATTTATTGTGAGCCACAACTCATTTCTGATCATGACATTAGAAATGAACAAGAGGAAATGGCTTTACCTTATTATTGCAGATTTAAAGCTGTAGATGATGTTAAACTTTTAGGTAAGGTTATAATAATAAGTTATATATACAGTAGAACCTCCATTAACCGGACTAATTGTTGTCGATGTGTATTCGGTTAATCAAAAATTCGGATAATAGAATGTATGAAGAATAATGTTGTGTATTTATTAAAAAGAACAATTACATACATAGATATCAACAAAAATTAATGTTTATTAAGAAATTAACACTTACCTATGTTTGCACATACATATTTTCTTCGATTACATTACATACTAAATAGCAGCATTAATCATACTAAAATTTGAATTGTAGGTATATACATACATATAAATTGGTTGTGGTTGTCAGTCCGCATAATCGCGAATCAGTATAACCGAGGTCCGGATGATTGAGGTTTTACTGCATATATATATATATATATATACATAGCCGGGCATTAACTCGTTAATCCGTTAATCGTTAATTAACGAAGTTAACATTTTGATTAACGGATTAACTTTTAAGTTAACTTTTAAAAATGTTAACGGACACGTTAACTTCCGTTAAAATGCGAGAAGTCCGTTAATCGTTAATCCAATGCCTACTATTTACCGCACGGCACAGCTTTAGCCATAGGCTTTAGCCAATGCCTTATTAAACGGCATAGAGAAAATATTTGGACTACTCCTGAATGATGAACAGTGCCAACTTGCCGCGGCATATCACCCAAAGTTTCGGTTAATGTGGCTGGAAACGTATGACAGCAGTAGAGAGGAATGCAGTAAGAAAATGCACGGAAAAAAAGGTAGAAGATGCCTTATGGCAAGAAGCAGCGAAAAATTCGAAGGACGGAGATAGTTTAAGTGGCGGAGGGAGCAATGCGAGTAACAACGATGATGACGAGAAGGAAGACTTTTTCAATTCTGTCACTCAGTCTATAGAAAAACCAAAGAGCTACAAACTCTTTAAAGAACTAGCTATAAGTGGAATTCTGTCTTAAGGCAATTAAGGCATTGTGTCTTAAGGCAAATTGCTGGAACTTTCCGTACCAAAAATTATTATTTTTTTAAAAACGATTAACATTTTTGAAAAAAAATTACTTCAAAGAAATAAGATTTTTGACAAACAATTAGACAAAAAATTACTTTTTTTTGAAAAAAAAAAAAATTTTTTTTTTTTTTTAATTTTTTTTTGAAAAAAAAAAGGTTTTCTTTAGAAAGATCTAAACTTTTTTTCAAAGCAATCGTACTGCTTTAACTGCATAAAGACGAGATATCAAACCGCGTAAGCGCCGCGTCGACGTATAACGCGTAAACATTGGTACGGAACCCATAGGAATGTAAACCAAAATTATACTTATTGTTAAAATCTCTATAAAATATCTGATAATTTGATGTGCATATGTCTAATGATCATTTTTGACCGCCAAATGGCTTATTTTTTTACTTTTTTCTCCATATCTCCGAAACCGCTAGACCTACCTTCATGAAAATTTTATCGATTCCTCATCTTGTCAATACAAGTGAAATGTTTTTTGAATTATTCAAATCGGACGCTCCGTTCTCTTAAAAACTGAGTTACCGTTTTCGGCACTTTTTGTCCCGTATCTTCGGAACGGCTAGACCTGCCTTCGCCAAAAACTAATCAGCACGTCTCCTTATCAATACAAATCGAATGTTTTTTGAATTATTCAAATCGGTTGATCCGTGTTCCCGAAATCGTCGACGAAAATTTGTATCCGCACATGCATACACACACGTACGTACATACATACACACACGTACGTACATACATACATACACACACACAGACACACACACAGACACACACACATACATCCATTTTTTCTAAGGTATGCCAAAATGTTCAGGAACCTTTGAAACGTAAAGATATATAAAAATTTTCATTTTCGATTTTTTTGCGATTACTATAACTTGCCCTACGGGAAGTTAATAAGTTTTTTAAGTTCACTAACGCAACGATATAAAAATGTAATTTTACACATATTAACGGATTAACGATTAACGTTAACTTGCGTTAATTCTTCCGAAATGTAACGCTTTAACGTTTAACGAAGTTAACTTTTTTTGTAGCGGATTAACGATTAACGAAGTTAACTATTTGATTAACGGTGCCCAGCTATGTATATATATATATATATATATATATATATGATAAAATTGTTTCTTGGGCATCCATTCAGTAATTAAAAAACAGTTTTATTGAAAAATGTTTTTATTTAGAGAAACATACGTTTCGGGTCTTGATGTGACCCATCTTCAGTGCATTCAAATAAGTTTTAAAAAATAACACAAAAAACACAAAATTGCACTAATAAAAAATAATTAAATATGAAATAAAAAATTGATAAGACGTCAAGTTATGAAATTTTTTTAAAAAAATAGTAAAATTAAAATAATATATTTTATCATAAAAAAGGTTTTTCCAAATGAACATGTTGTCAGTTTGGAGACCGTGTTACGTGTGAAAAATTTTCATAACTTGACATCTTATCAATTTTTTATTTCATATTTAATTATTTTTTAGTGCAATTTTGTGTGTTTTTGTGTTATTTTTTAAAACTTATTTGTATGCACTGAAGATGGGTCAAATCAAGACCCGAATTGTATGTTTCTCTAAATAAAAACATTTTTCAATAAAACTGTTTTTTATTTACTGGATGGATGCGCAAGAAACAATTATTATTTCACCATCTGAAGAAAAACCTCTCGCTTTATATATATATATATATATATATATATATATATATATATACTAAATTTACCTTTTTAATCATTTTAGAATCTGAAATATCAAAACAAGATGCTCATTTGTGCAGGCATCCCAGTGAAAGTTTAAGGGGTTATTTATTGACGGCTTTAGCACCTGTTTTAACTGAATGTAGTCAAAAGATGATACATAAATTTTGTGATATGTATGAACATGCCCGACACGATCCTAATGATTTTCAAGAAAAAGAGTATCAAGTGTATCAAAAGCTGCTTTTAAAATTATTGGAAACGTAAGATTTATTTTATTTATATTTTGATGTTTTGTTATTAATGATTAATGATATTTTTAGTGCATTAAATATTGTGAGTTTTTTAACCCTGAAAACGTTCTAATAGCTCTCAAGCTTTTATTTCTTGTAAAAATTAAAAAAAAAAACAAATGAAATTTTCGAAAACCTGCCTGACAATAGGGCGTTTATACTTTTGGGTGGCTGGACTAAAGGACTTCTACTGTAGTACAAATGCGTGTTTGTTCAGAACCTTTATAGTAGGTACTCGTATCATTACAAAGTGTTAACTTTGTCTAATTATACTACAAGAAAATAATATAAATAAAAAATAAAAAATACTACAAGATATTATTGAAATATTATCTTTATTCATATATTAGTTATTTTTTTCAAAATAATTTTATAATTATATTAGTTTTTTTTAGTTTGTTAAAGGATTGTATCATGTGAATGTATGTTTTAAGTGACAAATTTTTTGCTATTTTCGTGAATTTACTGATTTTTATTTCGAGATATATTGTGCTATTTGCAAATTTGCAGAAAAAGTGTATTGTTTGTAGTCAACCTCATACATTAACTGACCTCCTTGGACGGGCCGAGTACATCTACGTTCATACGTTTGTATAAAGTTGAATGTTTTATTTAACAACTTGGAAAATACTGAACGCATTATTGAGTACTATTATAGAATTTTAAATTTAATTAAGTTTAAGCGAATGTATCTTTTTCAGGACTAGCCAGATTAAGTCATCTGTAAACAGTCAAAAAATATCACCTAGTAGAACTTTAAGAAAGCAACACGAGGAACAAATATTAAGACCTGTACTTGATGCATCTCGTCTGCGAGTACCAACCTCACAATCACAATCAATATTTAAGTTATCGTTTAGTGCTGAGAGCAATTCTTTAAATGTTGAAAATAGACCTTCCAAGAATTTATGTTCTTCGTCCGACACTAAAATCAATGATAATGAGACATCAGTTTGATTAAAAATAAATAGACGCAAAAGGAAATAATATATTAAATAAAACTAAAAGTTATTTGCAAAATGTTCGACTTGGGTGATAATATGTCTGTAATTATTTAGGGTAATTTATTTGTTTTATATTTTTTTTAGATATTAAATACGTACAATATCTTTTTACATTTTTAATTCATAATGTTTTACTTATTTGTGTTCTTTTTCTTAATCTAAATTTTATTTTAGCAGTCTTTACAACAGTATTTGCAATATGACAGTGAGTGTAAAATGTTTTCACTCTTATTAAAAAATATGTTTTATCTGAGGGCTTGTTTATAATCAACCTCTTTATATAAATGGCAATTATTAAATGCTTACAATAGTTATTGGGGCAACAGAAAATTTTTATTATTGAAATGTTATAAAACAAAATTATATCTGAAAATTACAGTACTTTAAAATGTTATTTAAATCCGAGTCTCAAAAAGTTGTGATTACTTCTTATTTTTTAAAAAATAATTTAATATTTAAGAAAACAAATTCTTAATTTTTTTTTTCTATCTTATCAAAAACATGTTGAAACAAAGTGGTTGTCACAGTTTTTTGATTATAAAAAACATGAAGCATTTTACTATGGATATTTCTAATTTTAGTTCAAACTGGTTAAGAATAATTAAGATATCCCAGTTTATTCAATTCAATTTCAATACATATTCTATTTTTTCAATTATTTTTAACCATTTAATATTAACTAATGTCTTTTATTGTTGATTGATTTTTTTTTTCTTACCAGAAATTTGTGTCTGCAATTTCTTTGGCATAATGCAACACTCCCCATCAGTTAAATTTTATATTTGGTTTACATTGCATGTTAAACTTGCTTTATTCTACTGTCTACTGTTATCTGTTGATAAACATTTCTTGAATTGTGATTAACATCGAGATTTTTTTTATTTTTTTCATAAAATTCATGTTTATAACTATTTCTTATTGTAACTGGATTATTTGAATAAACCTTTTTTTTTTTATTAATTTTGTTAGGTAGAAAACAATTATCGGCTACCACAGGGTTTAGAGTTGAAAAAAATATTTCTTGGGAAACAAATCAACATAACATCGGGCATATAATGACAATATCCACAATGGTGTAAAAACCAGTAAGTATTTCTGTTGAATATGCTATATACTTGGTTGTATAAAGAAAATTAATTAAAATTTTGGTGGTTACAAGAACTTTTAATTTATAATAGATCTGGTTAAATCTGTTTTGTTTTTGACCGTATTAAAAGTTTCAAATGAAATTTATAGGTTTAAGATTTCCTAAATTACTACTTACGTAATTCGGATAATTTAATTTATTTCCATATTTCTTTTTTTTTTACTTTACTTTTTTTTACAGAAAAATTGAAATTTGTATATATCTTTACGTTGTAAAAGTTTCTGATCACTTTGGCATACCTTTAAAAAAATGGATGGATGTATGTATGTGTGTGCGTGCATGCGTGCGTGCGTGCTTCGGGAACACCAATCGAAAAATTTCGAACAAAACTGATCAGTTTTTGCCGAAGGCAGGTCTAGCCGTTTCGAAGATATGGGGGTATGTTATAGTAATGGGCCGAAAATCGAAAATATTTTTTAGCATATCTTCACGTTTTAGAGGTTTCTGAACATATTGGCATACATTAGAAACAATTGATGTGTATGTGTGTTTTGTGTGTCCGCAATTTTTCGTCTATGTTTTCGGGCTCACGGATCAACCGATTTGAATGGTTCAAAAAACATTAGACTCCTGTTGATAGGGAGATGTGCTGATTACTTTTTGGCAAAGGCAGGTCTACCCGTTGCGGAGATACAAGGTTAAGTGGTAGTTTTTGAGAGAACTAAGCATCTGATTCGAATGATTCAAAAAACATTCTGCTTGTGTTGACAAAAGAATTGCTTTTGAATTGTTTTTTTTTATTTCAAAATAATTTTTTTGTTCAAAAAAAATTTAAAAAAATATCTTTAATTTTAATTCTGGCCAAAGTTCTAAAGTTCACTTATTTACTTTAAATAAATAATTTTAACTTTATAATTCAGTTTATATAATTCTTACAAATATTAGACAATGCTATACAATATTTTTAATAATCTATTTGAAAACATTTAATATTCCTTGAACATTTTGTTACTGCACCGCGTTTTGCTTTAAGGCACCATGCCATACACCCCTAGTTATTATTATAATTACCGAGAATTAGTAATAGCGATGAATTTTTTTTATTGATAATGCAATGCCGGGTATGGGCTATTTTCACTTGGAAACGTATTGCTATCTATATTTTCAAGTGAAAACTGGTGTCACTTCTGCTCTGATTCAAATCCCATAGCTCTAACCACTTATCCACGAACGAGCTTGCATAATATAGTGACTCATTTTAATATCCTTTGAATTTCATGCTGCCTTTTACTAAAAAGTCGTTTTATTTACATGACCATGCTTTTTATCTTTTAGAAAAATCTTATATCTTTTGGTAGAGTAATTATCATCGCTTATGTTGCTATTAAATATTCTTTTCGTCGAATATTGAAAAGAAATTATATAATTGTCTTTTTTTTTAGTTATCAAAGTCTGCAATTTACCTTCTAGTCAGTCGGGGCTAGTGTACAGTGCGGCCAAATTTGGAAATTGAGTAAAAATTCTATATAATATAATTAACGATTTTTTTTTCTTAATATTTTTTATTTCAAGAAATATAATTAAAAAAACTTAATACGATTGTGATGCAGAATTTGGGTTCAAATAACCGATTATTGAAGCCATCATTTTTCATTTCGAATTTTGCGCTATTAATTTGAATGCATTATGAGGTCGGGGTTGCCTAAAGATATTTGAATGCCTGACCCCTTTCCTTCCTCTCTGAACGTAAATTATCAAATTGGTTAAGAAGTTATCATTGAATTTGCCAATTTGGCTAATAGAGAGATTCGTAAATAAGCTGAAAATTTAAGAAAAATATATTCTTCAGATCTTATACTAAGGGAAGTTAAAAAGTTTGTTGAAAGTGCCTGTGAAGAAAGTCCTTAGGGCAAAATATATAATTCTTATTTTTAGAACAAATATGAATATTTTACTATATTATTAACTTTCCGCAGAGTATGTTCTAGTAATTGCAAAAAATCGAAAATGAAAAATTTTGCATATCTTCACGTTTCAGAAGTTTCTAATCATTTTGGTATACCACCTTAGAACAAATTTATGTATGTGTGTGTGTATGTGTTTGGATAAAAATTTTTGTCGACGATTTCGGGAACCGATTTGAATGATTCTGAAATCACTCGATTTGTATTAATATGGAGACGTGCTGATTAGTTTCTGACAAAGGCAGGGCCAGCCGTTTCGAAGATACGAGACAATAAGTACCAAAATGGTAATTTAGTTTTTGAGATAACGGAGCGTCCGATTTGAATTCAAAAAACATTTCATTTGTGTTAATGAAAGGAAGAACTAATTATAGGCATTTTTAGGAAGGCGGGTCTAGTGGTTTCGGAGACTCCATAAAAAATGTTAAAAAATGCCATTTGGCAGTCAAAAATGATCATGTAGTAGGTACATTTTTATGTAGGTACAAAAAAGTTAAAAATTTTCAAAAAAATTGAAAATATAAATAATCACATTTTTCAAAAATTTAAAAATGATCAATAATCAAATTTTTTCAGTTTTCAAAAACTTTTAAAGCTTCTTCAAAAAATATAATTTTCGATACGGGAAGTTTCAGCAATTTGCCTTAAGGCACGATGCCATGCACCACTAGTTCTAGTATGTAATGCGTAATAATTTTTTTTGCAATCAAATAGTTATTTTAATTTTAGACAAATGAGTCATAAAAACTACTATATATATATATATATATATATATATATATATATATATATATATATATATATATATAACAGCGATGTGTAATCTTATGTATAACAAATTTTTGTACATATTTGAGGAATTACTTATACAGTAGAAACTCGATTTACCGGACTAATTGTTGTCAATAGGCATTTGGCTAATCAAAAATCTGGATAATCGAATGTATTAAGAATTATGTTGTGAATTTATTAAAAATAACAATTACATACATAGACAACAACAAAAATAGTGTTTATTAAGAAACACTTTCTTACGAATGTACATATATATTTTCTTAGGTTGTATTTGTACAATTGTATACATCTGTACCTACATTTCGACAAAAACAACTCCTCACATAATATTATTTTTCACCGGCCAATTTGACCGACCGCGGTAGTTTTAGGCCACATAATTTTGTTTTCGGAAAATAGAAAAAATAAATGAAAACAAAGAGTGAAGAAAATATTAATAATAATATTATATATAGTTCTAAATTCGAATTGACATATAGTTTGATAATGATATTTTAACTTTTAAAAAGGTCTAACAATAAGTTATATAGAAAGTTTGAAACGGTCATTTTGACCGGCGTTTGTTTATTGTTAAAAGGTAAAATTTGTATAGGTCATGTCATAAGTTTTAATTTCAAATATCGAATACTTTGCGGTACCTGCTATATTGCTTACTCGTGCCGGTTTGATAAAGAGTTTTATAACTTTTTTTTTTTTGTTAAATACATTATTCCAAAGTTTCCACTCAAATTGGAAAACAGCAAGCGATTGTAACCAACAACGGCTGTCAGGTCTCTTTATCAAACGAACATTTCCATCTACCTCTCTTATGACTGATAGACTTCTATTAATTTCATAAGTAGGTACGTTCGTCACTTTTTGAGATTTTTCTTTTCTTTTAAATAATGTTTTAATAATAATGTTCGACTTAGTGACTAATAACTAAAGAAACGTTGAACTCAGACTGAATTATATATAGGTAGTACGACTGATGAGGCAAGTGGCCGCATTTCGTAATGAAAGCACATTTTTGAAAAACGTAAAAATATTTATTTTAATACAAAATATCAGAGATTGCTAATCAAAAGCCAACTAAATATAGATTTAATAAATGCCAAAGTATTTATTTTAATTTAAATGATCAATTTAATATAGCATCTTTTTAGGGAGTACGGCTTG